CCTACGGTAATCGTATGGTTTTCTTTTGATGATCGTATGGCTTCTGAACTTAATCGTATGTCTTCCCAATGGTAACCATCTGCTTTGCCGATTGGAACCGCATGGTTGTCCTGTGATTACCATGCGGTGTTCCGATGGTAACCGTATCGTTTTCATTGGATAACAATATAGTTGCCCATGGAAGTCGTATGGTTTCCTATGATAAGCATGTGGCTTTCCTTTGGTAATCGTGTGTCTTTCCTATGGTACTCGTACGGTTGTCCTATGGTACTTGAGAGGTTGTCCCATGGTCGTCGTATGGTTGTCCTGTGGTCGTCGTGTGGTTGTCCTGTGGTAGTCGTACGGCTGTCGTATGGTAGTCGTATGGTTTCCGATGGTAGTCCTATGGTTGCCCTATGGTAGTCGCATGGTTGTCCTATGATAACCGTACGGTTTCCGATGTTTGTCGTGAGGTCTTCATGTGGTAATCGAATGGTTTCCAATGGAAATCGCATGGTTTCCTATGATAATCGCGGGGTTGTCCCATGGTAGTCGTGTGGTTTCCGTGTGGTTGCCGTACGGCTCTCCCATGGTAATCGCATGCGGCGGCCCATCCGCTCAGAATCCCCACACCCTCCCTTCCTTTCTCCGAAAGATTAGAACGCGCAAACAAAAAAAGGTCTGCCATAATACCACTACTACTACTAATACTACTACTACTACTACTACTACTCCTACTACTACTACTACTACTACTACTACTACTACTACTACTACTACTACTACTACTACTACTACTACTACTACTACTACTACTACTTCTACTACTACTACTACTACTACTACTACTACTACTACTACTACTACTACTACTACTACTACTACTACTACTACTACTACTACTACTACTACTACTACTACTACTACTACTACTGCTAACTACTACTACTACTACTACTACTACTACTACTACTACTACTACTACTACTACTACTACTACTACTACTACTAACTACGGCTACTACGGCTACGACGACTACGACTACTACTACTACTACGACGACTACTACTACTACTACTACTACTATTACGACGACGACGACGACCACTACTAGTACTAGTACTAGTACTACTACTACTACTACTACCACTACTACTACTACTGATACTATGACTGCTACCACTACTACTAGTACTGCGACTACGACGATCTACGAATACGCCTACGGCGACGACGACGACGACGACGACGACTACTACTACAACTACTACTACTACTACTACTACTACTACTACTACTACTACGACTACTACTACGACTACTACGACTACTACTACAACGACGGCGACCACCACCACTTCGACGACAACAGCAACAACCACTACTACTACTATACTACTACTACAGCTACTCCTGCTACTGATGCGTCGACGACGACGACGACGACTACCACTACAACTACTACGCCTACTGCGACTGCAACTACAACAACTACTACTACTACCACCACTCCTACTACTACGACTACTACTACTACTACTACTACTACTACTACCACTGCTTATACATACTGCCCCTTCTCCTACCCCTAAACCTACACCCACTCCTACTACTACTACTACTACTACTACTACTACTAGTACTAGTACTAGTACTAGTACTACTGCTACTACTACTACTACTACTACTACTACTACTACTACTACTACTACTACTACGACTACTACGACGACTACGACTACTACGACTACTACGACTACTACGACTCCTACTGCTACTACTACTACTACACGACTACTATCCCTATTACTACACCTACCACTACTACTACTACGACTACTACCGCTACTACTACTACTACTACTACTACTACTACTACTACCACCACTCCTACTACTACTACTGCTACTACTACTACGACTACTACGACTACTACTACTACTACTACTACTACTACTACTACTGCTGCTGCTACTGCTACTACTACTACTACCGCTACTACCACACTACTACCACTACTGCTGCTACTACTACTGGCATTACGGCTACGACTACGAGTACGACTACTACTAATATTACTACTAATATGACTACTACTACCACTGCTACTACGACTACTGCGACTACTACTACTACTACTACTACTACTACTACTACTACTACTACCAATATCACTACCACTACGACTACGACTACTAGGACGACTACGGCTACTACGACTACTACTACTACCACTACTTCTACTTCTACTACTACTACTACTACTACTACTACTACTACTACTACTACTACGACTACTACTAATTTACAACTACTACTACTACTATACTACACTACTACTACAACTACTACTTCTACTGCCACTACTACTACACTACTACTACCACGGCTACTACTACGACTACTACTACACTCCGTACTACTACTAACTACTATACTACAACTACTACTACTACTACTAACTACTACTACACTAACTACTACTATACTACTACTACTACTACTACTCCTACTACTACTACTACTACTACTACTACTGAACTACTGCTGCTACTACTACGAATACTACACTACGACTATACTACTACTACACTGCTACTGCGACTACTACTACTTACTACTACTACTAACTACACTACTACTAACTACTACTACACTACCTACTACTACAACAACTACTACTACTACTACGACTACGACTACTATTACTACTACTCCTACTACTCCTACTACTACTACTACTACTACTACTAACTACTACTACTACTACTACTATTACTCCTACTACTACTACGACTACTACGATACGACTACTACGAACTACTACTACTACTACTACTACGACTACTACTACTACTACTACTACTACACTACTACTACTACTACTACTACTACTACTACTACTACTACTACTACTACTACTACTACTATAACGACGACGACGACGAACGACGACGACGACGACGACGACGACGACGACCGACGACGACGACGACGACGACGACGACGACGACGACGACGACGACGACGACGACGACTACTACTACTACTACTACTACTACTACTACTACTACTACTAGTACTACTACGACGAAAACCTCAAGGCCCGATTCTCAATGGGGACCACCTCCTCCCGCCACGCACAAAAAACATTACTGAAACATCTGAAAGGTCTCTGGGCCGTCCTCGGCTTCCGCGGGTCCCTGTCAGCCCCGGGGACCGCCGAAGACAACCTGGGGGCGAAGGACCGCGTCCTGGGGAAGAGGCCCAGGCCTCTGAAGGTCCACGGTGTCGGAGTCCCAGACATCCGAAATCCAGCGAGCTGGGGTTCGGCGGAAGCCGACTGCGTTCCCAAAAACGGCCCAAGACGGATGGACGCCGACCCATGACGACTCCAGCATGACCCAGGGCGGCACCAAGAGCGCCCCAAAAGCCTCCATAACAGCCTCCCGACGGCGCGGGAAACGCCCAATACGGACCCAAGAAAACGGACCCTAGATGGCCCCATGACGACCCGAAGCGCGGTCAAGTTGGCTCCGTGACGGTTTGGTTGTTGGAGAACAAATGCGTTCCCAAAGACGGTCCCACACGTATGGACGACGGCCCGCGACGCCCCCAACATGGCTCAGGACAACTGCGAGATGACCCCAAACCGGCTCCACAGGCCACACACCTCTGAAATATCTCAAGGGAAGCTGTGAGGATCCCCTACTATCGATCTTACGAATATTCTGAAAACTATTCTCATGATTCCTGTTATGTCTTGTTCTCGCCAAATATTATGCAGAAGCGTTTGATCACAGAGGCGCTTGTGAATCAGCTGTTGACAGAACCCTGTCTGGGCATAAAGGCCTAACGCGGCTTCTTCGAATACTGGTAGTCGCAACAGAGGATTTCAACGTCTTCATCTCTCAAACAAACTTCTTATGAGCAGGCCCTATGCACAACAAACCCAAAAACAACCCATAACAACTTTCACAAGGGTGAATGAAACCAAATCGACTTCCACTTTATGTTCACTCTTGCTCGCGCGTTCCCCGAAAGCTATTCAAACCTAGTCAGGGAACACATGCTGCGATAGATTGGCCAAGCGCCAAGCTCTACCCCCACTTTCTACCCCAAGCCACATGCGCGCTTCCACTCAAGCTGGATCCTAACCTAACCACCCTTCTCGATACTCCTCATTTTACCCCCTATCCTCATCCTCCTCCTCGCCCACGTGTTCCTCGAAAAGTTTCCACAGCTGTTATGGAAACACCTGTCCGATAGTTTGTCCAAGCTCTGGACCCAAACGTTTGGCCACAGAGGCGCTTTTCAAAAAGGCAGGGGGCGGCGGTGATTCGCCGTAGGCGTCTGCGATTATGTGATGACAGTCGTTGGGGTAAAAATATAGTTCAGGCTGGTGAATGCTCGCTAACAAGTGCCCCCGAAAGCCGAACATTGTCAAACATACTGTTCCCTGAGATCTGACGTTGCTGCGAAGAAACACTGCGAAGAATTGCGACAAGAGCCCCAAACCCTATGTTTATCAAGCACTTGCCAGTCCGAGTCGATCCGTAAATGTCCTGGGCAAGACAAAGCTAGGACGAGGATAAAATCGGGTGCGGATACATCGAGAATCTCTGAGATCCGGCCGATCTGGGAGATACATCGGGCGCCGCGGCCTTCTCAGAGCGTTCCAAAACGTTCCAGAACGCTCTGAGAGCGTTCCGGGACGCTCTGAGGAGGCCGTCCGACCGGGCCCCCGGAAAACTGGGAGGAAACGCTCCCTGCGAAAAAAACTGCAACGCCCGGATCTCAGGGCCATCTGCTTGTTCACGACGAGGGCGGGCGGGCGGTGGGTTTCAGGCGCCTGTCTCGGGGTCCTTTGCGGGCCCTCTTGGGTAGTCTTTGGGAGGAGGAGGAGGAGGAGGAGGAGGAGGAGGAGGAGGAGGAGGAGGAGGAGGAGGACAGACCTCCTCTCGCCGCGGCATCAAGACACGACGGCAGGCCCTCCGCCATGGCTCTTTGCCCTCCGGGCCTCGTCCACGAAGAGGACGCCCCCCAGCGCGCTCTCCACGACGGCCCTGGCGAGGGGGAGCGAGAGCCCTGGCCAGAGGCGCGCTCAACTCCTTGGGGACAGCCTCTAGACGTCTTTACTTTTGACCCTCCTTCCCCTTCTGCACTCGTCGGTGAATAGGACTGGTCCTAAACCTCTTCCTCCTCCTCCCCCTCTTCCTTCTCCTCCTCCTCCTCCTCCTCCTCCTGCTCCTGAGGCATAAGTACAAGTAGTCGGCTCCGGGGGGAAAGAGCGCACCGAGCGGGATCATCGGCGTCGCCTCGCCGATAGACGGGGGCGCGGCAAGGGATTGATTCTCAGACATGCATGGGCCCCGGAGGTCGGGACCACTTCCCTGGGGCCCGTTTTTCGTCCTGAGTCGTTTTTGGACGGTCCCGAGGCCCGGCGAGGGCCCCTGGAGGCCAAAAAGAGCCAGAGACCGCCCGCTCCATGTATTTTGGAGCGTCGGATCTCTGGGCCTGGGCCTGCCCCCGTCCCCAGTGGCCATCAGGCCTCCGGAGCCCCTTCGAGACGATCCGGGCACCCCCTGGATGCCTCTCGGCGCGGCGCAGCTGCCAGAACGCATCCCGTGTCGAGGTTAGAACCTCGAGGATCGAGACGCGAAGCGATAACCTCCCTGACCTGAGCCCACACCAGCCTTGCGAGACACGGTCCCAGGGCGAGGGCCCCCAGAGGCCGAGAACTGACCAAAGCAGCCGTCGTATTCTTGTTCGCGACGCGAGGGAGTGTGGCTTCGGGGCGCCAAGCTCCGGGGCCGATGCATTTCTCACGAGCCTACATCTGGTAAGGCTTCGGGCTGCGCGCACACAGCCCCCCCCCCCCAGGTAGCCCTTGCTAGCCTCAACAGGACAGGCCCCCTCCTCCTCCTCCTCCTCCTCCTCCTCCTCCTCCTCCCTCCTCCTCCTCCTCCTTCTCCTCCTCCTCCTCCTCCTCCTCCTCCTCCTCCTCCTCCTCCTCCTCCTCCTCCTCCTCCTCCTCCTCCTCCTCCTCCTCCCCCCCTGGCAGTTCTGGCTGGCTGCAACGGGCCCCCCGAGTTGCCCTGGCTGGTCTCAATATCTCAGCCCAGGGCGAGCGGGCCTTGCCGACGCAAGCCTGGACTGGCTGAGGGGGCTGTTTGCGCGCAGCCCGAGCTCTTGCCAAGCCTACATTCAAAACTTGTATTAAGGACGGGCGGTAAGGACACAAGACCCTTGGAGGTTGAGGTTGATTTTTTGGGCTGCGGGCGACTAGTGAAAACGGCAAAGGACGGGCCGCAGAGGCAGGGATACAAGGGTACCCTAGATGAAGGCGGGCGTCCTTACTAGGCGCGTTGACTGTATCGCTGCGCCCCCTGACTCCAGATCCGCCGTACGTTGGGCGATTTGCAAGTAGGGCGAGAATCCCAGCCCTACTTTTCCAGGCTCCTTTGATGCCAATGTCCAGTCTACTTTGCCGTCGCTGCTTCCGCCGTATGTTTGCTGATAGATCCGCCCTACTGCGAAGATGTCCACCCTACTATTCCAACCTTGGGGGTGCATTTCCAAATAAATTCGCCGGCCCAACGGGCCAGGGCGTGCTAAGATCTCCGGTACCTGGTTAACAGTATTTCTAGTTCGCGCGCGCGGGGCGGCCCCTGGGGGTCCCCGGACGAAAAGTACCCCGGCAAGGTCCCGGCAAGTCCCCGGCAAGTCCCCGGCAAGGTCCCGGCAAGGTCGGGCCAGAGATGCCGGAGTTCTGTTTCGGAGTCCAAGAGGGCTCCAGATCGGTCCAAGAGGGCCCCGAGAAGCTTTCTAGACGGTCCAAGAGAGGCCAGAGACGGCCAACGATCGCCCGAAGACGCCCCAGATGGCCCCAAGACAGCCCAAGAGGCCTCCAAGACGCTCCAAGGGCCTTCCAAGAGGCCTCCGAAGAGGGCCCCAAGTTGCCAAAATCGTTGATTTTATTGGTTTTTTCTATGTTTTTTTGCGTTCTGGCCTTTTCGCTTCCGGACGCTCCAAGAGGGCCCAAAAGGCCTTCAAGACTGCTCCAAGACGGCCCACGAGGCTCCCAAGACGGCCCCGGAGCGGCCCAAGAGCGCCCCCCAGACGGCCCAAGTGCTGCCCAAGGCGGACCAAGAGGCCCCAAGACGGGCCCAAGAGGGGCTCAAGAAGGGAACCGAGAACTGAAAAATCGAGCCCTCCGCCCCAGAAGGCGCCCAGGACCCCGAAAGAGGCCCCAAGAGACTCTCCAAGACACCCCCAAGACGCCCCAATAAGCTCCCGTGAGGCCCCAAGAGGACCAACAACGTCAGGCCCCAGGCCCCAAGAGGACCAACAAATACCGCCAAGAGCCCGCCGAAAGCCCCCCAAGAGACCGTCACGAGAGCTCAGGAGGCCCCCTGGAGGCCTCCCGAGTTCTCCAAGAGGCCTAAAAAGAGGCGCCAAGAGGCCCCAAACGGCCCCACCGAGGCTCCAAGAGGCCACGAACGCGCAAGCAAACGCCTGCGATGGCACAATACGGGCCGGCGGAATGAGCGAAGCGATAATAATGTTGGCCCGCGTGGACGTGAATATGTGTGTATACAATATGGTGTAATGAATGTGGTGCAGTATAAATATATGTGTATATATACATGCGTGTACATATATACATATATAGGTGTATGTGGTGTGAGCTATGTGGTGCAATCAACGTAGTACGATACATATATATATACACATAGATGTGTGATGTGAGCTATGTGGTGCAATCTATGTGGATCAAACTATGTGGTGGAATATATGTGGAGGTATCATCTATGTGGTGTGAGCTGTGTGGTGCAAGCGATGTGGTGCAATGTATGTGGTCCCAATTTTTTTAAGGTCTGAAGTATGTAGTGCAATATGTGTGGTGCAACCGATGTGCTACAATATATGTGATGCAACATTTACATATATACATGTACAACGCAGATGTGTGATGCAACATGGCTGGTGCTGTGTGTATATGTGTGTGGTATGAGCTGTGTAGTGTTATCTATCCTAAGCAATATGTGTGGTGTGAGCTGTGTGGTGCAATCTACGTGGTGCTAGCACTGTGGTGCAATCTACATGAGCTATTGTGGGCGGCGACGGGCGGCGGCGGCGACGGCAAGCGTGGCGGCCGACGCCCAGGCCCAGAAGCGGCGGCGACGGACGGCCGACGCCGACGGATCCGAAGTCCGGGCCCGGAGGTCGGCACCCCTCGCAACGGCTCCTCCCGAGCAGCATCTGCTGGCCCCGCGGGCGGGGTGGGAGGGCGCCCCGGGGAGGCCGAGGACGACCGAAAACATCCCGTCGTGAGGTGTTCACGGCGCCCGGGGGGTCTGGGCTGCGTGTGTGGCGATGTTCCGCGACGCCGCAAAGCAGGCGGCGGATCCGAAGTCAGGGTTGCCCAGCCCATCCCTGACCCCTCCCTTGGCGGCGCGCGCAAGGGGGTAAGGGGGGAGGGGGGAAGGCTTCTTGGAAGGAGGCTACTCTGAGAAGGTGCCGGGCTTACACTTGTATAGATGAGATGAGGCCGCGCCTTCTAAGAAGCAGGGTGCTTCTAAGAAGCCTTCCCGCCTTCCCCTACCCCCCTCTGCGCGCGGCTGACTTCTGGTTGACGCAAGTGGGCGTCCAGGAGTCCAGGGGGTGGTGCAATAGATCTGGTGCAGTAGGTTTCTGGGGATGCAGTAGATTTGGGGCGTGCTTGGGCGCAGCTGTATTGCTGGACTTCTGCATGCCATGCACGAGTTGCAACACCAGGCAACGCAACTCTCTGGCGCAAGGCATTCGCAATACCCCGGCCCCGCTCTATTGCACCACCCCCTTTCAGCTGGATGCCCTCTTGGGTCGACCAGGTGACCCGTGCTGCCCCTGGCCTGGTCTTCAGGGCCGTCTGCCCGCTGTACCCCGCCACCAGGGCAGTGCGGTCGGCTTCCACCAGGTGGCCCGTGCGCAGCAGGCCCAGGGCCTTCAGGAGGTCGGCCACCACCCGGGCGACCTGCGGCAAGCTCGTGCGGCGACGACCCCCGCCTCCTCCTCCTCCTCCTCCTCCTCCTCCTCCTCCTCCTCCTCCTCCTCCTCCTCCTCCTCTTCCTCTTCCTTCTTCTCATCCCCCTCCTCCTCTTCCTCCCCCTCGCCCTCGCCCTCCCCCACCCCCTCTGCGCTGGTTTCTGACACCTCGCGAACCGTCAGGACGAAGCCTGGACGAGGAGACGAGGATAAACTCAGGTCAGGATAAGTCGGGACTCTCTGAGGTCTAACGGCTCCGGAAGATGTATCGGGCGCCGCGGCCTTCTCAGAACGCTCCGGAGCGCTCTGAGAGCGTTCCGGAACCCTCTGGAACGGATTTATCCTCGACCTAGCCCTGTTCAACCTTTGGGGGAGTAATACTCGGCATACTCGGGTTCGGGGGACTCGGGTTGGCCTGGCGGGGCCGTCAGGAACGTGACGAGACACAGTCTGAAATCTGACGCAAACTCCCATCGCGAGCATCCCACGAAAACTGGGCCGTCAAAATCCAGAACGGCCCCGTCAAAAAGTGTCGCCAAACCCGAGTCGTACGTTCCCCCAAACCTTGAACAGTCGGCGGCTTTCCGATCACCCGAACGTTTCTTGTTGGCCTAGATTCTGGGCTGCCCGCGGCGTGCTGGGATCGCAGCCGCGTCGACTCAGCGCAAGAGGAAACAAGGACTTGTGAACTCTGGGAGGCCCGCGCGGATGTTCTTGGGCTGGCGCGCCAACTGGCCTCCAGGCATCCACGAGGGCGACGATCAAAAACGGGTCGTACGCGGCGGTGGCTTACGCGGGCCGCCAGCGCGGCGCGCCACGTTGGCATCAAGGGCGCTTACGCGGGCAGCTTACGCGCGAATGTCGGTGAAGACGACCCTTTTTTTCCGTCGCCCAACTGGCCTCCACGTTTCCACGTGAGCTTTCGATCCCCATCCCACCCAACACAAGGAAAGGTAATAACATTGCCGAATAATAGAATCTGCTTGAAGAACCGTGTCAAAGAAAAGCTGTGTCGCGGAAGAGCCGTGTCGCAGAAGAAGAACTCTGTCGAAGAAGAACCCTCGGTATATGATTGGTTACCGAAGAAAACCATGTCTGGAGGTCTGCGCAGATGTCTGGCGGCGAGCGAGGGGAGGAAACAAGAAGGAGAAGGCCTTCTCAGGAGGCGGCGGAACTTCTCAGAACCCCTCGCGCCATCTGAGAGGTTTTCTGCATCTTCGGGGAAAGATCAGAAACCTTCTCAGAAGGCCGGGGGGCTTCCGAGCCCGCCCCTTCGCACTTCCCTTCATCGATCGCCGCCGAGCTGCCCAAGGTCGGTGCTGAACCCCACACCTCCCTTCCGCGCCTCGCGTGCCAGGGGCGGCGCCAGGAGGCGCCCGGCGCCGACCCCAGAAATCCACGCGGACTTCCGACAGCTTACAGGGCAGTTTTTAATACACAGGATGTTAAACACATTAGGATGTTTAAAACATGGTTTATTCATTCATGAATTAATGCATCAACTCATCCTTGTATTTATTGATCAACCCTTTATTTTTAATCAATGGTCCGCACGCGGAGCATGTATAAAAAACGGCACTGTACGCTCATGGAGCACTGCGCGGCGCTCACAAGGGGGGGCAGCGCGAGGCGGGCGGTCTTCCCTGAGATCCGACGTTGCCAAGAAACTACAACATCGCAAAACATTGCGACCGGAGCCCTGGACCCCATCTTCCTGCGTCATTTTTCCAGCCGGATCGATCTGCGAGGGTCCCGGTGCCCGAAATGGATCGAAAATGCCCGTTGTGAAAAAATTGCAACGCCAGGATCTCAGGGTTCTAAGAAGGCGGGGGGGCTCCTCAGGGGGCCTCCAACCCAGATGCCCGACGACATGATTCTTCGTTCCAGGGCCCAAGGAGGTCCCGCCCCCTTCCCCGGGGGCGGTGGTTCGTCCCCGATCCATTCTTTCGTCGCCCCGGCGCCCGATGCCCCTGGAGGCCGAAATCTCAAGTGAAAACGCCCGCATTGAAAAGAATCTTATCCTTGGATGTCTGGGGAGCCTCGGGGTAGGCTCGGAAGCTGGCAGGGCTGCGAAGGAGCTCCTCCTCCTCCTCCTCCTCCTTCCCCTCCTCCTCCGCCACCTCCTCCTCCTCCTCCTCCTCCTCCTCCTCCTCCTCCTCTTCCTCCTCTTCCTCCTCTTCCTCCTACTCCTCCTCCTCTTTCTCCTCTTTCTCCTCCTTCTTCTCTTTCTCCTGCTCCTCCTCCTACTCCGCCTCCTCCATTCCTTCCTCCCTGTAGCATCCCAAGGCCAGTCGGACGGGCGGGTCGGGCGTTTCGCTTGAGACTTCCTTGCCATTTTGAGCCTGAAGCTTGAAAACTGGCAAAAGCTTCACAGATGGAGGGCGGGCAGCTTCCAAAATGTGGCTCTCGCCTTAGCGCCGCGCACATTCGTCAAAAACAGTTGCAATGGCTTTACGGATTGAGGGCTGGTCGTTTTCAAAATGTTGCTCTCGCCTGCGCACCGCCCACACTCGTCTTAAACATATGCAGGAGTTTCACGGGTTGAGGGCGGGTCGTTTTTTAAATGTGGCTCTCGCCTTAACGCCACGCACATTCGTTTCAAACATTGCAAGAGTTTCACGGATTGTGATTGAGGGCGGGTAGTTTTCAAAATGCGGCTCTCGCCTGAGCGCCGCGCATATTCGTTTTCAACATTTGCAGCATGTCATTGGTTCTCATGATTAACGTTCCACTAGTGTGTTTCTGAAGCATGTCATTGGTTCTCATGATCAACGTTCCACTAGTGTGTTTCTGAAACGTTTCAGGATTGTCAGGGCGCAGCGGTTACGTGGATTCGTCGCGACTCAGGATCGTCTGGCACGATTCAGGATCGTCTAGAAGCAACAGCCAGTCGGACTCGTGGCGTTCAAATCCTGAGAACGGCGTTTTGGCACGCTTCGGAATTTTCGCACGGTTGTCCCCAAACGTGACACTTCCCTCAGAGGAAATGAGCCCTTGCAGGGGCCTGTGAAGAGGGAACTTGGAGGGAGGGTGTGATCCAACATCGTTGATGAGTCCTGGGATTACACTGGTCCTCCTCCCCCCCCTCCCCCTCCTCCTCCTCCTCCTCCTCTTCCTTCTCCTCCTCCTCCTCCTCCCTCCACCGCCCGTCCTATGTCCCGAGCCTGAGGCAGGGTCATCAGCTCGTCGTGGTCGTTGCCGTCGTGGTCGTCGTCCTTCTGGGTCGGCGGCACCAGCCGCAAGGCCTTCAACAGACTCCAAAGCCTTCCTGAACGACCCCAACCGGTCAAAAACGTCCTTGGGCTTTCGTCGTGGTCGTCGTCGTCGTCGTCGTCGTCGCTTCTGGGTCGGCGACACCGGCCGCAAGGCCCTCACAGCACTCAGCCTTCTTACACGACCCCGGACGTTCAAAAACGTCCTCCAGCTTCGACCGTGGAGCCTCGATCTCCAGGAGGAGCTGGTGACCCCCCTGCATACGGTCGGACCTGGGCCAGAGGAGCATCCCTCGAGAACATGAGACCCTCCGCCCGCCAAACTCACACAGAAAACCCGAGGCCCCCCCCTGGTTGCACAAGAACGTCCAACAAGCACGAAGAACAATAGGGTACCCTCCCCGAGCCGACCTCGATCTTATTAGAGAAACCATAGATGACATCAACATAAAAACTCGGAGGTCCGCGCGGATTTCTCAGATCTGCGCTGACCCCCCCCCCTCCCTGGCGCGCTCCTCGCGCCAAGGGCGGCGCTGGAAGCGCCGCCAGGAGGCCCCAGCGCCGATCAGAGGAATCCGCGCGGACCTCCGAGTTGTTATGTTTATGTCATTGTTTATTCCCCTAGGCAAATCGCCTGGGACTCACAAAAACGATCGAGAACCTCAAACCTCAAATCGACCGCAGCGGTGACCCTCCTTGGCGCTGGCCGATCTCAGAATGGGCCAAGCTCTTGCGCGTCGAACCCACCCTGTGCGCGCCGCCAGGCTGCAGAGAGGTTGGCCGCTACTACCCGAGAGCGACCGTCGTCTTCCCGGTGCCGGGGTTGCCCACGAAGACCATGTGCAGGGTGGCGGAGCCGTTCTGGGCCTCAGCATGGGTGGTCCCCCGCCTCCTTTCGTCGTGATTCTTGATGTTTGTTCCTCCCCTCCCTTCCACTAGCGGCAACGACCACACTGACGCCGTCCCTTCTACGCAGGAGAACCCAACACAAACGAAGGCAGGCGACTAGAAGAATGCCAATACCAACCTCTTCTCGTCGTGAAAATGGCCCGAGACGCACCCACGCCATTCTAAGCGCGTTGCGGCTACCAGCAGGCCCCTTCCTCACAACAACACACGCACTGAAAGTCCCGTTGCACTCCGGAACGCTGGGCCAAACGACTCCGAACCACATCATACGAAAACGGCACCCATGCACCGTGCCATGTCTGGACTCCGTCCAGGCCCCGCTCCAACGCGGTACCGTGCGTGGTTCTTTCGGCTCCGAGGGCTGGTAAAAACTATGCGCCGCACCATGTCGTGCCTCGAGGAACGACGACGCTTCGGGAGGCGCCAACGCGGCATGGTGCACGCAGGTCGTCCGCGGGCGTCAACTCTTCACGAAAGCGGCGACGGTTGCGCAGGTGGCAGCCCCCCAAGGGAGCCGCCAGGTCTCGCCTGGGGTCCGCGTGCCACCCTGCCCCGCGGGACCTCGCGGACCTCGCCTGCCTCCCTTCCTCCTCCTCCTCCTCCTTCTCCTCCTCCTCCTCCTCCTCCACGAGCGCGGCGGCGGTGGGTGGCACTCTCCTCCAGGGGGGAGCCGCGAGGTCTCGCCTGGGCGTGCGCGCGCGCCCCTCTGCTCCGCGGGACCCCCCATGAGCCCGCGGAGCGGCGTTTCCACGCGCATCCCTCCGCGGGACCTCCCAAGAGCCCGCGACACTGGCGCGGGGTGCGCGGGCGGCAGCCCCGCTGGGAGCCGCGAGGTCCAGCCTGGATGCGCGTAGGACACCACTCCGCTGGACCTCCCAGGAGCCCGCGCAAGTGGCGGCAGTTGCGAGGGTGGTAGCCCCACGGGCAGCGCGAGCGGAAGGTCTCGCTTGCCATCGCTCGGACTTCCATTCCCCGTGCGTGCTTCGGTTTCGTGCGTTTTTTCCATGTTCGCATGATGGTCCAAGATCCTCCTCGATGACCAAGATGATCTGGCGCTTGCCACGTCAGTCTGGGCGGTAGGAAATAAGCAGGTCGGAGTGAGGAGGCAGGATGAGGGAGAAGGTGGGAGGAAGCAGGAGGTGCGCGAGCAGCGCTCCATCCAAAACGAGAATCGGCGGCGAGCGAGGGGGGGAAATGACAAGGAGAAGGCCTTCACAGAAGGCGGCGGGACTTCTCAGAAGCCCTCGCCCCTTCTGAAAGGTTTTCTGCGTCTTCGGGGAAGGCTCCGAAACCTTCTCAGAAGGCCAGGGGACTTTCGAGTCTTCTGCGAAGGCCCGCCCTTCCCCCCCGGGGCTCGCCGCCGAGAGAGCCCAACGCAGAAGAGCTGTGAGAATCAAGACGAACGGTTTCTTGCCGCTCCTGGCCACTGGAGGTCCTGGCCGGGCCCCCCAGAACGATCAAAGAACGACGACCCGCAACCCGCCTTCCGCACCACCCGACCAGCAGGCGGCTGCTTTAGTGATCTTCTCGAGGGGCGAAGAATTGCATTGACAAGGTAACTTTCTGGAGGTCCTCGCCAGGCCTTGGCCAAACGATCGAAGAACTACGATCCGTAACCCGCCTTCCACACCACCCGACCAGCAGGCGGCTGTTTTAGTGATCTTCTCGGGGGGCGAAGCATTGCATTAACACAGCGACTCCTGGAGCTCCGCGCGGAATTCTGGACTTCCTCCCTGGCGGAGCGCGCCAGGGGGGGGGTCCGGCGCCAACCCGCAAATTCAGCGGGAAGATCCAACAGTGTATGCTTATGCTTTATGTCAATCGTTGTCCCTCGAGAAGATCTCTAAATCAGCCACCTGCTGGTCGGAAAGCGGAGCCTGTGGAAATCACAGGTACCGATACCGCTACTCCACGGACCTCTCCAGGAGAGCGTTCTGATCAAAACTTCGAGGCGAATCCAGCGGTGGCGACGATGGCCTCCCAGGAGCCCCAAAAAGGCGAAACTGGGGCGAGGGTACAGTCGATCCGTATAACAAGGACGCACGATAGTTAAGGATGCAAGGGCCTTGGAAGGCCATGGTGGCATTTTGCAGGCGGGGCACGGCCAGCGAAAGCGGCCAAGGATGCAAGGGTAACCTTAGAACGACGCTCATCCTCACTATGTGACTACCTACCAGACCACCCAAACCTAACCCGAAGACCCCAATTGCGAGTTGGAGGAGGCACGGGTTCCACATTTGTTTTTTTTCATGTTCCCCGACGCCCCCCACTGGGAATGGAGGGCAAGTTGGGGCCTTCGGGTGGGGTTGGGGTAGTTTGGTGGGTGGTGATTCTGCGGGTTGACTGTAGCAGTATGAGTATCTCTTCCTCCTCTGAGAGTCTGGACAAAGGGGTCCAGACGAGGAGGACGAGGAGGCGGAGGAGGATGATGAGGAGGAGGAAGAGGAGGAAGAAGAGGAGGAGGAAGAGGAGGAGGAAGAAGAGGAAAACGAGAAGGAGGAGGAGGAGGAGGAGGAGGAGAAGGAGGAGGAGGACCTCTGGACGCCCCCGCTGCGAGCAGACGCACGGCGTCGCAGCTCTGGGGGGAGCAGGCGGGTGCCGACGCCGCCGCTCCCAGGACCTCCCCTCCCCGACCTGCACTCCGGGCGGCGGATCCGGCTGCGCGGCGGGGGCGCTCTCCCCGGGGGGGGCCCTGAGAGGAGCCGAGACTCAGACATGCGAAGACGACGACGACGACGACGACGACGACGACGTGGACATGACGACGACTCTAACGATCATAACAACGGCGACGACGCTGACGACGACGACGACGACGACGACGACGACGACGACGACGACGACGGCACCCACACATGCGAAGTCCTGATTTCCTTGGAATGCGCGCTCCCGGAAAGTCCCGGCCCTCTTTCCCCGCGGGACGGGCTCCTCCTCCCGAACCGCTTCTGGGCGGTCCCTGGGCCTGGCGACAGAGCATCGCATCCAGAGGCCGACCACGGCGAAAGCCCTCCGTCCTGAAAACTTGCTGCGGCGCCAGCATGTCTGGGGGGGGAATGGCGTTCCCAGACCTCCGACGAAGCAGTCATGAAGGGACCCTGGGACACACAAATTCGCCGGCCCAACGGGCCAGAGGCGTGCTGAGATCTTCGGTAACCGCTTTGCAGTAAGTCTATTTCGCGCGCGCGGGGAGGCCCCTAGGGGTCCCCGACGAAAAGTTCCCCGGGCAGGTCCCGGGCGACTCTGGTCAGAGATGGTTTTCCTCCTGGGCGCCGCCCTCGAGGCCGTCCAGAGAGCCCCAAGAAAGGCCAAGAGGCCGCCAAGAGCCCCTCAAGGTGATACAAGAGAGCTCCGAGATGCCACAAGATCACTCCAAGACGCCCTAGATGGCCCCCAGACGGCCCAAGAGGCCTCCAAGAGCACTCTCAAGAGGGCCCAAAAGGCAGCAATCATTGGTTTCCTTAGGTTTTGGAAAGATTTTGGCGCTTCCACCTTGTCGGCTTCCCGACCCCCCAAGACGCCCAAGAGGCTCCCAAGACCGCCCCAAGAGGGCCCAATAGGCCCCCAAGAGGGCCCCAAGACGGCCCAAGAGGGCTCCAAGACGGCCCAAGAGGCCTCCAAGACGGCCCAAGAAGGCCCCAAGAACGCCCCAAGAGAGGTCCCAGAGGGGGAACACGAAACAACATTTCGAGCCCTCGGCCCTAAGAAGCCCCCAGGAGTCCCCAAGAGGCCTCTAAGAAGCCCCAAGAGGCCCCCAACAGGTTCTCAAGAGGCCCCCAAGAGGCCCCCAAGCGGCCCCAGGAGGCCCCCCAAATGCCCCCCCGAGCACGCAAGCAACTGCCAATGACCCGACGCGTTTAAGAGTCCCCAAGAGGCCACCAAGAAGGCTCCCGAAAGAGTCGCCGTAGGCAAAACGCTTCCAGACGGCCCGCGACGCGTTCAAGACTCCCCCAGCGGCCACCAAGAAACCTCACATGCCGAACGCAAAACCTGTTTAAATTATCCCGGCAAAGCAACCTAACAGCGATGTGTAGGAGCATATCTGGAAGCATTCCCCTTAAGATTCAGATAAGAATCCTGTTGTAGAATTCTGCTGTTCTCGCACTCGTGGTCGCATTCGCGATGGCAGTCGCAGTGGCAACAGCAGTCGCAGTCACAGCCTCAGCCTCAGCCTGCCTCAGCCTCAGCCTCAGCCTGCCTCAGCCTCAGCCTGCCTCAGCCTCGCCTTCAGCCTGCTTCAGCCTCAACATCAGTCTGCCTTCAGCCTCGGCCTCAGCCTGCCTCAGCCTCAGCCTCAGCCTGCATCAGCCTCAGCCTGCCTCAGCCTCGCGGTCAGCCTGCTTCAGCCTCAACATCAGTCTGCCTTCAGCCTCGGCCTCAGCCTGCCTCAGCCTCACCCTGCATCAGCCTCAGCCTCAGCCTCAGCCTGCCTCAGCATCAGCCTGCCTCAGCCTCAGCCTCAGCCTGCCTCTGCCTCAGCCTCAGCCTGCTTCAGCCTCAGCCTCAGTCTGCCGTCGGCCTCGGCCTCAGCCTCAGCCTGCCTCACCCTCAGCCTGCATCAGCCTCAGCCTCAGCCACAGCCTGCCTCAGCATCAGCCTGCCTCAGCCTCAGCCTGCCTCAGCCTCAGCCTCAGCCTGCTTCAGCCTCAGCCTCAGTCTGCCTTCAGCCTCGGCCTCAGCCTCAGCCTGCCTCAGCCTCAGCCTGCATCAGCCTCAGCCTCAGCCTCAGCCTGCCTCAGCATCAGCCTGCCTCAGCCTCAGCCTCAGCCTGCCTCAGCCTCAGCCTCAGCCTCAGCCTTCAGCCTCAGCCTCAGTCTGCCTTCAGCCTCGGCCTCAGCCTCAGCCTGCCTCAGCCTCAGCCTGCATCAGCCTCAGCCTCAGCCTCAGCCTGCCTCAGCATCAGCCTGCCTCAGCCTCAGCCTCAGCCTGCCTCAGCCTCAGCCTCAGCCTGCTTCAGCCTCAGCCTCAGTCTGCCTTCAGCCTCGGCCTCAGCCTCAGCCTGCCTCAGCCTCAGCCTGCATCAGCCTCAGCCTCAGCCTCAGCCTGCCTCAGCATCAGCCTGCCTCAGCCTCAGCCTCAGCCTGCCTCAGCCTCAGCCTCAGCCTGCTTCAGCCTCAGCCTCAGTCTGCCTTCAGCCTCGGCCTCAGCCTCAGCCTGCCTCAGCCTCAGCCTGCATCAGCCTCAGCCTCAGCCTCAGCCTGCCTCAGCATCAGCCTGCCTCAGCCTCAGCCTCAGCCTGCCTCAGCCTCAGCCTCAGCCTGCTTCAGCCTCAGCCTCAGTCTGCCTTCAGCCTCGGCCTCAGCCTCAGCCTCAGCCTCAGCCTGCATCAGCCTCAGCCTCAGCCTCAGCCTGCCTCAGCATCAGCCTGCCTCAGCCTCAGCCTGCCTCAGCCTCAGCCTCAGCCTGCTTCAGCCTCAGCCTCAGTCTGCCTTCAGCCAGCCTCAGCCTCAGCCTCAGGCCTTCAGCCTGCCTCAGCCTCAGCCTCAGCCTCAGCCTCAGCCTCAGCCTCAGAAAAAAAAATGGGAACTGGGAACTCAAGAACACGAAGTGGCCTACGGTTGGCTCCGGGCATTCAAAATCATGCCCAGGAATGGAGTTCTGGGAACTCGAACACCACGAAGTGGCCTACAGTTGGCTCCGGGCATTCAAATCATGCCCAGGAATGGAGTTCTGGGAACTCGAAGACCACGAAGTGGCCTACAGTTGGCTCCGGGCATCCAAAATGTGGCCCGGGAATGGAATTCTGGGAACTCGAAGAGCACGAAGTGTGTGACTGTTGCATCCGGCCCTCCAGAATGTGGCCCGGGAATGGAGTTCTGGGAACTCGAAGAGCACGAAGTGTGTGACTGTTGCATCCGGCCCTCCAGAATGTGGCCCGGGAATGGAGTTCTGGGAACTCGAAGAGCACGAAGTGTGTGACTGTTGCATTCGGCCCTCCAGAATGTGGCCTGGGAATGGAGTTCTGGGAAATCGAAGAGCACGAAGTGTGTGACTGTTGGCGAAAAACGAGCCCGGCACCTGCCGCCCGGCAACTCCCAACACCTGCCCGGACCCCCCTGTGGAGTGATCTGTGAGCTCTTTTGAGTCAACTAGAAACCTATCAGTCTTCGCTGTTAGGTAAAAAACAGCTGCCGCCCCTGCAGCTCCGCACCGCGAAAGACCACTCTCTCAGTCGACAACGGCGCGCAATATGGGCCGGCGGAATGAGCGAAGCGATTCAATAAATACACACAAATCCGAAGATCTCCAATATTTTCTCATTTTCCCCCCCACTTCCAATTTTCCCACATTCTCTGGGGATCGGCGATTCATTGTGTCTGTGTGTTTTTTTCCCCCCCGAAGGCAGCCCGCATAGTAAGCATGCGCGGTGAGTGTGCAAAGGCCTTGGGCCGGGGAGGGCCACGTCGGCCCTTTGCGGGCGGGGCGCGGCGGGCGAGAGCGGCCAAGGATGGGCCGACGGGGAAGGATGCAAGGGTAACCTTGGAACCCAGACCCCCGAGGTCGTGATTTCGTTTCACATCGACGACCCCCAGAGGTCTGGACCCCTTCCCCGGTACCAGTTTCTCATCCTGAGTCGCTTTTTCTGGAGGCCGAAAACGGCGAAAAAATTCACGTGGTGACTTTGTTCGCAACGCGAGGGGGGGTCGGGGAACGTCGCTCCGCGCTGATTTCCTGGATCTGCGCCGGGCCCCCCTCCCTGGCGCGCGGAGCCCGCCAGGGGCGGCGCCAGAGGCGCCGCTGGGATGCCCCAGCGCGGACCCGAGAGATCCGCGCGGAGCGCCAACGGTTTATGTTTACGGCGTTCTTCCTTCTTCGAGGTAGCCTTGGAACGTCGCTACTCCTTGCTGCGCGGGCTCCCAGTGCGGGCGTGCCTTCTCTCGATGTGTTTCGACCTCTGAGAAGGCCGCTCCCGGGCCCCAGAGTAAGTACGGGCCCGGGGCGAGAAGAAGACCCCCCCCACGGGGGGAAGTGGCCGGCACCTCTGGGGCCTCGGGCCGAAGAAAACCAAAAACACATTTTGGCGGCGCGAAGACCCAAATATGATCGCGTCGTAGAAAATCAAGACGGGGGAATTTTCACCGTTGTCAGCCTTTGAAGGTCCTCGCCGGGCCCCGAGAGCATCCAAAAACGACTCGGGATGAAAAACCGGTGCTGTGGAAAGGGTCGGGACTTCTGGGGACCGCGTACTGACAAAATCAGGACGTGGCATGTCTGGGGAGGGGGGCTGGGGGAGGGGGGGGAGGCTTCTTAGGAGCACCCCCTGCTTCTTCGAAGTCGCCGGCCTCAGATCGATAGGCAAGGCCCGCGCCAGCTGAGAATCAGGGGGTGCGTCTGAGAAGCCTTCCCCCCTGCCCCACACACCCCGCCGCAGCGCGCACGAACACCGGCGGAGGTCCGGGTCCGTACCTGGGAGTTGCCCCCCAGACCCCCGACGTCGCGCTGTTTTCGTGGCGTGGGCGCGGGTACAGTCGGGGGCTTGACCTAAGGACCCCAAAAGGAACGAGGCCCCTTTTTTCCATAAGTTGAACTTCGATTTCGTATCGAAAACCTAAGGAAAACCTAAGGCAAACTGTGAAACAATTAAGGAACGCGGAGCCCCTCCCCAACGAAAAGGGTTCCTTCTTCAGGGCCCCGACTGTTTTGAAGGCCCTCTTCAGCGTGACATTCTTTCAGCCCCCAGGAAGTCTGCACCCCTTCCTGGGGAGCGGTTTTTGTTCCATCCCGAGTCGTGCCCTTCGGGCGTGTGGCAGTGGGGGGTGACCTCGATAGGGGGTGCAGAGAAGGGCCCCAAAACGGGGCCCTTCAGGGCCTCTTTGGGGCCTCTGCGGTGTCCGACGGGACGAGCCCTAAAAAGGCCCCTTTCTTCACCCCTCTCCTGCGATCCCGCGCTGCAGGAGAAAGCTATCTTCGGCTGCGAGCGAGGGGGGGAGGTGAGAAGGAGAAGGCCTTCTCAGGAGGCGGCGGGGCTTCTCAGAAGCCCTCGCGCCTTCCGGGAACTTTGTCCTGTGTCTTCGGGGAAGGCTTAGAACACTTATCAGAAGGCCCAGGGACTTCCGAACATTCTGAGAGAGCCTTCTCCTGCGCGCTTCCGCCCCGGGCTCGCCGCCGAAACATCGCGAGAACTCACGACTGGAACCCCAGGCCCCATTTTTCTGCCTCATCTGTGGGGCGGATCGACTCCGTGAGGGTCCCGGGGCCCGAGCCAGAGCAAAATCGCCCTGTGTGAAAAAATGCGGCGCCAGAATCTCTGGGCACTGGTACGTGTTTGCGTGCTTCTCCACTGGGCCTCGATGCCCATCTCGCGGCGCTGCTGCTCCAGCTGCAGCTGCGCGTGGAGGGACCGCACGAAATCCTTTCGGGTGTTCATTCACCGGGTTCGAGTAGGGGATCGGCTACAGAATTGATTTACCCCAGAACTGATTCTGTCGTCGAGTCATAATGTTCGTAGATCTTCGGACATTCTACGAAGTTCTCATGGACTCGACGAACAAATCAATTGTTGGGGTAACCGAATTAATTCTGTAGTCGATCCCCTACTCGACGGGTGGGGTGGAGGGGGGGCGATCAACGTCGGGTGAGGAGACGCGTGCCTTTCGTGCACCTTTCGGGCACGCGGTGGCAGCTGAGCGGGCCGCCTGGGGCCCCTTCATAAGCCGATGCTCCTGCAATCCTCGATCCCCCCCCCCCACGTTCGCTTAACCCCCTGATGTCGGATCTGCCGCATCTTGGTTGCCTTTCCGACTTGCAATGTTGTCAGAAATGCGCCCCAAACGATGCGAATAAGTCAAGCGGAAATTCCCACCACAGCAAAATTGAGGCGGACATTTCCGCCAGCGTAAAGCAGAAATTGCGACGGCAAAGGAGGGCGGAAATCGACCTCGAAGGAGCTCGACAAGCAGGGCGGATATTCCCGCCCTGCTTGGGAAAAAAACCAAGCATACTGCGGATCCGAAATCAGGGCCATGCTTTTGGACGCGCGACAAGGGTACAGTCGGGGCATTGACCTAAGGAACCCTAAATAAGGAACGGGGCCCCTTCCGCCCAGAAGTTGAGCTTCGATTTCCCATCGAAAACCTCAGGAAAACAGAAGGCAAACCGCAAAACAGTCAAGGAACACCGAGCCCCTCCCCAACGAAAAGGGTTCCTTCTTCAGGGCCCCGACTGTACGGAAAACATGAGCACGATGCCCAGCAGCATGTTGTCCAAAACCGACAGCGGCCGCTGCCGGGCAGGCGGCCTCCTGCCTCGAGCGAGCGGCGCCCGCGGCGACACCGAGAGCGAGTCCGGCTCAAAACGGACAGGATACATTTTTCCTCCTCCTCCTCCTCCTCCTCCTCCTCCTCCTCCTCCTCCTCCTCCTCCTCCTCCTCCTCCTCCTCCTCCCCCCTCCTCCTCTCCTCCTCGTCCTCCTCCTCCTCCTCGTCCTCCTCCTCCTCCTCCTCCTCCGCCTCCTCCTCCTCCTCCTATCTGCTGTTGGTCTTTGTACTCGCTCTTGCCGAAACCAGTTCGATCGTACCTCAGTGGTGGGAGCAATTGGTTTTCAAAAGGTTTGGTCTTTAGAAGCTCTGCGTGGCGACGCCCCCGTCGCCACGCGTGCCCTCTGCGTGCCTGCGGGGGCGCCGCCACGTAGAAGTACTGGAGACCGAGCATTTGGGGCGTCGCTACGCACGCCCTTGGCGTGGCTGCGACCATTTGTTAAAACCCTAAAACCAATGAAATCCCACCAGCCCTTTGGGCGTGAGTGGTTTAGGGAGCTCTCTCTGTTCTCAACCCCCCTTCTTCCCCTTCGGGGAGGGGTTTACCCCTCCCCCTACCCCCTCCCCCTGAACCTGGAGAGGTCCTTTCGCGGGTGGTCAGAGGGTCCTTTTTCGACTCCTGGGAGGGCTAAAAAACGACACCCCTCACGAGGATTCTGGCCCCGACGGGGGGAGGCAGAAAAGTGCTCCCCTCTTCTTTGAATGTTACTATGGTTTTGGCCCCATTTTGGCCTTCTGAGGGGGCAGCGCTAATTAAAGCTCCCCTCTTCTTTCAAGCCAAAATCATTGATTTTACTAAGGTTTTGGCCCCATTTTGGCCTTCTGAGGGGGCAGCGCTAATTAAAGCTCCCCTCTTCTTTGATCGATTTCCTCCAAGATGGCCCCAAGAAGCGCCCAGGAGGCACCAAGAGGCCCCAAGATGGCCCCAAGAGGCCCCCAGGAGGCCCCCAAGAGGATCCCAAACGGCCCAAAGAGGCCCCCCCGAGGCACCCAAGACGCCGAAAAGCCCATCAGGACGACCCTCTACTCGCCTGGGCGTCGTTTCTGGACGGGCAGGAGGAGGGGCCCGAACGACTCACACCAGGACGAGGGGCCCGAACAACTCACACCACGAGAAGCCCGAACGACTCACACCAGGACGAAGAGCCCGAACGACTCACACCACGAAGAGCCCGAACGACTCACACCAGGAAGAAGGGCCCGAACGACTCACACCAGGACGAGAAACCCCGAACGACTCAAACCACGAGGAGCGCTTTCTCTCCCTCCTCCTCCGCCTCGTCCTTCTCCCGCTCCCACCACAAGGAGGATGTACAAGGAGGCGGGAGGAAGGAGGAACAGGAGAGATATGCGGGGGCAGGCGGAAACACGCCTGAAAAACACGACTGTCGGCATGCTTCGCTAGAGTTGCTGTTTTGAGATGGGCTGGTGGGGATACGCGAAGCGTGAATAATTCACTAATAAAGTACCGAATGAACCTCGCAACAGAAAGCGGCATAAGCATGGACTGTCGAAGGTCGGGGGGTCCAGCACCGAGCCAAGAAAACCGCGCGGCCCGTCGAACAGGTGTCTATGCAACAATCTTATGCTTATGCAGAATGGGCAGGACATGCGATCGGTCTTCTTATCCAGACATCCAGCCGCTCCAATTTGTTCGATGCGTGGGCCCCGGAAGTCTGGACCACCTTCCTAGGGCCGGTTTTCGTCCTGAGTCGTTTTCTGCCCGTCTCGAAGCCCGACGAGGGCCCCTCGAAGCCGAAAGCCGACAAAACACCGCCCGCTCCCATGTCTTTGGGCGCGTCGGTGTTGTGCCGATGTTGTCGATCGCGCCGACAGGCTGCCGCCCCGCCCTCTCTGCCGCCCGCCGGGGCCTTGACGCCCGGGAGCCCCACGATGGAGTCGAGCTTCTTGAGGGCGGCCTCCGCCGCCTCCTGGCGGTCCCGCTGCTGGTCCACGAAGTCGTCCTGCGAGCGCGCGCTCGGGCGCGGGCCGCACTTTCGGCTTCGCCTGCTTGCGCGGCCTGCCTTCGACCCAAGCTTCTGGCGGCGCGCGCAAGGGGGGTAGGGGGAGGGGGGACGGCTTTTTGGAAGGAGGCCGCTTCGTAGAAGGCGCCCTCCTTACATCTACAGAAAAGGCCCGCGCCTTCTAAGGAGCTGGGGTGATTCTCAGAAGCCTTCGAAGAAGCAGGGGGTGCTTCCCCCCCTCTGTGTGTGGCCGAATTGTTGTCGGGGGCGTCCAGGGAGGGGGGGCGTCCAGGGAGGGTGCTTCCCCCCCTCTGTGTGTGGATGATTTTCTTTTCGGGGGCGTCCAGGGAGGGGGGGCATTCAGGAGGGATAGGGGGCGCAGACCATGGCCGGCGGCACGTGCGCGGCCGAGGGGGCGTGGCCAGGGACGTGCTGGAGTGAGAAGATGCGCCATTGAGATCTGGGGCTATGTTGCTCCCATCGTGTATCTAAGGACCACATCCCAGAAATAACTTCGAGCACCCAGAAGAGTATCTAAACAGTGTCGAACGAGAATCGCCTCCCAGGGCCCGACACGTGAACACCCTCAAGATTCGGTACTTTCCTGGGGCTCGATTTTTTCTGGTGGTCAAGGCTAAAGAAGATGGAACATTATAAATCTGGGGAGACTTCGTAGCCCCCGCCATGATCTCCGCCCTCCTTGGTTTTCACCCCAGACACAGACCCCCGACGTCGTGATCTTTTCACAACGTCGACCCCCAAAAGTCCGGACCCGCTTCCCGGGACCGGTTTTTCATCCTGGGTCGTTTTTTGACGGCCCCGAGGCCCCAGAATGGCACCCGGAGACCGAACATTGCCAAAACCTGGCGTCGTGATTTGTCGTAACCATACTGTGGTTTTGGGTCTTCGTTTTGAAGGGACAGCGCCCCGCGTCACCTCACTCCTTCTCGCTGCTCCCTCCCCCATCATCTCATTCCATCATCATCATCATCATCATCATCATCATCATCATCATCATCATCATCATCATCATCATCATCATCATCATCATCATCATCATCATCGTCATCGTCATCGTCATCATCATCATCACCATCATCAGCAGCATCATCGTCGTCGTCATCACCATCGTCATCAGCATCATCAGCATCATCACCATCGTCGTCATCATCATCACCATCATCGCCATCAGTTGGCACACCCCTCACACGTTGCGTGGCCCCACAGGGAGCTCCACCGAAGGCCCCGGTGGCTGCGTTCGCATGCGCTCACCGCACCCATGTCGGCACACCCCGCACACGTTTCGTGGCCTCATAGGGAACTCCACCGAAGTCTCCAGTGGCTGCGTTCGCACGCGCCCACCGCACCCATGTCGGCACAACCCTCACACGTTTCGTGGCCGCATAATGAGCCCCACAGAAGGCCCCAGTGGCTGCGTTCGCATGCGCCCGCCGCACCCATGTCGGCACACCCCGCACACTTCGTGGCCGCATAGGGAGCTCCACCGAAGGCTCCAGTGGCTGCGTTCGCATGCGCCCACCGCGACCATGTCGGCACACCCATCACACTTTTCGTGTCCCCACAGGGGGCCCCACCGAAAACACCAATGGCTGCGTTCGCATGCGAACATCGCACCCTTCCCGGTACTCCCCTCATCCGCTTCGTGGACCCATAGGGAGCTCCACCGAAGGCCCCAGTGGCTGCGTTCGCATGCGCCGACCGAGCCCACTTCGGCACACCCCGCACACGTCGTGGCCGCATAGGGAGCTCCACCGAAGGCTCCAGTGGCTGCGTTCGGATGCGCCCATCGCTACTACTACTACTACTACTACTACTACTACTATTACTAATACTACTACTACTACTACTACTACTACTACTACTATTACTACTACTACTACTACTACTACTACTACTACTACTACTACTACTACTACTACTACTACTACTACTACTACTACTACTACTACTACTACTACTACTACTACTACTACTACTACTACTACTACTACTACTACTACTACTACTACTATTTCTACTACTACTACTACTACGACTGCTACTAATACTACTACTACTACTACTACTACTACTACTACTACTACTACTACTACTACGACTACACACTACTACTACTACTACTACTACTACTACTACTACTACTACTACTACTACTACTACTACTACTACTACTACTACTACTACTACTACTACTACTAGCTAGCTACTACTACTACTACTACTACTACTACTACGACTACTAGAACCACTACTACTACTACTACTACTACTACTTCTTCT